AAGGCCGGTAACGCACTTGTAACACCTTTGGTGTTTCGGGTGTCCATGGGCGGTGCCGATTGCTTACCATCAGATGATCAGTCTGCTCATTTAGCGAATAATTTCATAAAAAAAAGTTATGAGAATAAATTGATTTTCCCTTTTTGATTTCCTTATTAATATTACTCTGTTGAACGACTCGACTTCTATATACCAATCATAGTGATATGCGTTTCTTTACAAGTATGCTACTTGGTTTTAAAGCCAATGTACGCTGAAGTGCTTATTAAAGTATGTCGAGAACTACACAATACAAATATTTGCTTCTAATTGATTCAGTATAAAATCTACTTGCAGAAGTGCAATAATTACTTATGTATAGTAATGTTTCACCCAGTTTTCAGCAATTCGGTTATAAGCCCCGTGTACCAGGGGCTAGTTTATTGCCAAAGACAAACCAAGAGCTTCTGAGATACGAATAAAACAACAAACACGGTACACGGCCTAGCATTTAAGTCCTTTTTTATTTTTTAACGTTGCCCCACACTAGGATTTTCTCCTGTAACAAACATACAAGTTCACATACACATGACACCCAGACCCGGAAATAACAATCTGTGGATCACACAAAGAGTCGTTCCGTGCGGGAATCGAACCCCCGACATGTTGCGCGGCAGTCAGTTGCCCAACCACCGCGGCAACCGTGCAGTCAGCCTAAGTATCGCTCTAATACACTATATGAGCATCTAAATGCCTAAAATTAAACATAACACTACTTTGTATCTTTTTAAAAGACCTAGATATTGAGTCTATCGATCAGTCGCCATTTATAGCTCGCTTTAATAAAGAGGCCTGCGCAGTTATTACGTGCGTTATATAGGTACCTAATACAGGAGGAAAATAATATTTTTTTTACCGCCACTGATAACTGTCGCCATCGAAAACCTTAATAATACTTTACCCAACACGGTATTCAAACGAAGGACTCTGTGTTTGTCAGTTGTGTTTACCAACGCAGGAGGTTCAAATTTAAGTAAGTAACTATACCTAATCGGGCTGTGAAAATTCGAATTTCTTGGTGATGAAATCATTGTTGCCTAATTAATTACACTGCTTAATGGAAAGCAACATTTTACGATACTAGTTCGTTACGCTCCATCTTAATTTGCAAATGCATCGCTCCAGCCAACATCCACAGCTAAATGACCATAATCGTTACGGTTCGCCTACTTATGTGTTTCAAATGTAGTCTATCGAATCAAGAATACACTTATGCTGACTATAAACCCATATTTATACATTAGTATCCGATAAACACAGTTAAGGTAAATATTTATGTAACGTCCGTATCTAAACATTAAAATAATGATAAAAATTGTTACGAAATTCTCTTAAAGAGGATGGAAGTATCTATTAATGTGGATAATCTGTGTCATTGTTTAGTAACATTATGTTAACGAATAAGTAAATACTTAGTCAATCGAGACCTAGCATTTAGAAAAGTAGAACAATCTTTATTTGGTAAAAACGACCTAAATTCAAAGTTTTTAATTCATGAAATTTAAAACTCTTAATAGTGATCTTAACTCTAATGAATCACGAGGTTTCATGTTAGGTATGTTCTGAGCATTTTTTACGTAGTAGAACATACAACTATGCTGAAGCCTGAAAACATAGACCTGGTTTTATGTAGAGATCCCATGCATAATATGTGTTCGTCACCAATCCTCCAAAATAGATTCCATATTCTTTGTTGAACATTAACATAAAAATATGAAGCATTATAATATTTAAAAGCACTTCGCGACGCAAACTTATAATAAATCCGACTGAGTTATCAGATAAACGAAACGTGCCAACAATACAGCCAACGCGTCAGTATAAATACCTTCAAAAAGAGAATGAGAAATAGAATTAGAAGCAGATGTTGGAGATTTAAAAAAACATTTAGAACTGACTAAGATTTGTTATTTCTGTATGACTTCTGCATACGTAAAAGTCATCAAGTGAAACAAATAAAATCATCTTATCGAGTAATTAGACGGTTGAATTAGAATAGGTACTCATTTAGAGGTAAATATTGTTGCATTTTATTGACCGGGACAAAATGACAATGACCAAATTTGTATGGAGCGTGGTGCCTTTTTGTTTTTTCGCGGCAGTTGATCGGATGTGGAAAAACTGATGCAGAATAACATTACAAACAAAAAAATATATGGGGTCTTATATCAAAAACACAGTCCGAACCGAGTTAAATCAGTTCAAAGATGTGAAAATAGTGCTATATTATTCCTGTTATTTTGTTGATGGTGACCGTACACAACGCATATTTCTTCATTTACTTGTCAGAAATATTTTGTAATAAATGTTTATAAACGATTTCAAGGAATATAGTAAAGCTTATAGTGGACTT